GAATTCTCTGCCAAATAATTTTAAGTAAATGAAAGCATTTGGGATTGCTTTCCTTACTTTGTTTGGATCATCTTAAGTTAATGTATGAGTGGTTTTTTCTAAAGTAAAATCTCAGTATTCAGGTTAAATTGCCATGTTGGCACTTTGCGATAAATAATTGGGTTTTGGGTCGCAGTTTGGGCACTCGGTCTCTAAAAGGTTTGCCATGACTGGCCTAGTCCCTTTCAACAGGAGACACTGGGAATTGAACCTGGGACCTTCTGCTTGCAAAGCAGAGGCTTCTTCCACTGAGCCACAACACCTCCTTTCTCTCAGCTTAAAATTTTCTCAGCCTAACCTACCTCGTAGGGTTGTTGTGAGGATAAACTAGAGGTGAGATAGGTGGGATATAATGAATTAAAACAGCAACAACCAGGGCTATTTTTGGGCAGGAACGCACAGGGATGGAGTTCCGGCTGGCTCCTGAGTTGGCCACGCCCAGCAGGAACTCATTAGCATAATAGGCCACACCCAACAGCAGAAACTCATTAGGATTGGCTACATTAGGGGTGTGTGGCCTAACATGCAAAGGAGTTCCTGCTACAAAAAAAGGCCCTGGGTTTTGTCAACAAACAAGGTAAGCAGAATAAGAAGCAAAAGGTGGGTGTGGCTGGATGAGCACACTTCTGGTAACATGCGGGTGCGGCCTAATGTGCTAATGAGCTGTGCGGTCAGGGGTGTGGCCCAATATGCTAATGAGTTCCTGCTGTTGGGTGTGGCCTATTATGCTAATGAGTTCCTGCTGGGCTTTTTCTACAAAAAGAGCCCTGACACTGACCGTGAAAAAGTTTTTCCTAATATCCTTTCTGCGTGTAATTTAAACCCCATTGCTCTTGTCCTCTTGTCTGCTGCCAACTGGAACATCTCCTTGCCCTCCACCAAATGACAGCCTTTCAGATATTTAAAGAGAGCAATCTCGTCCCCCCTCAATCTCCTCTTCTCCAAACTAAACATTCCCCAGGCCCTCAGCCTTTCCTCGTAGGGCTCAGTCTCCAGACCCCGGATCATCCTCGTCGCTCTCTTCTGCACCCTCTCGATTTTGCCCACATCCTTTTTGATGTGAGGCCTCCAGAACTGCACATAGGACTTGGGTGCGGCCTGACCAAGGCCGTCTACAGAGGGTCAGAGGGTACCAAGATTGGTTAGTGGTCATAACCCAATAGAATGTATGAACACGTATCCAACAGATTGCTCATAACAACTAGGCATTATTTGCAAAAAGAGTGTGTTCAAAACCAACGGTAGGCTCATCTGTAATCCCATACATTAATAGTGTCCATAGACCCCCAAACACAAAGCCCCTGTGGCAGGAGATGCCCACTGCGGAAAGAATAACAGCCGTACGTCTCTCTCAGGTATAAATCAAGACGTTCCAATGATCTTCAACAACAGCAGGTAAAATGGAACCCACCACCCCCTTCTGAAGCCTGTTCCACTGAGGAACCGCTCAAACTGTCAGGAAGTTCTGATACGAATGAAAGCGGAGGAGAACAACGGCCAATCTAAGATGGAGGAACCGTCGCTGTCCTCCACCATGGGCCTGGCAGAACAATTCCATCTCGCAGGCCCCGCGGAACTCCGTTAGTTCCACCAAAGCCCTGGCTCTGGTCGAGGACAGCCGGACACTCTTTGGGCCGGGCATTACCAGTCGTTTGTTATCACTAGAGCGTAATGCTCTTTGGGGGATGTGCCAGGAGAGGTGGTCCCGGAAGAATTCCTCCACCTTTCCCATAGCCCGTGGCGTCTTTGATCAGGGACATTTCCCTCACGTTCCCTCTCATCTCTAGTGAAACTGACCCAATTGGAGGAAACAGTGGAAGAGGGAGACTTGAGTTCCAATCCTCGCTTTGTCAAGAATACTGGGTGACGGGGCTATTTTTGGGCAGGAACGCACAGGAACGGAGTTCCGGCTGGCTCCTGAGTTGGCCACGCCCAGCAGGAACTCATTAGCATAACAGGCCACACCCAACAGCAGAAACTCATTAGGATTGGCTACATTAGGGGTGTGTGGCCTAACATGCAAAGGAGTTCCTGCTACAAAAAAGGCCCAGGGTTTTGACAACAAACAAGGTAAACAGAATGAGAAGCAAAAGGTGGGTGCGGCTGAATGACCACACTTCTGGTAACATGGGGGTGCGGCCTAATATGCTAATGAGCTGTGCAATCAGGGGTGTGGCCTACTAGGCTAATTGATTTCTGCTGTTGGGTATGGCCTATTATGCTAATGAGTTCCTGCTGGGTGAACTTGAGTCGGTCACTGTATGCCTAGCCTTCCTCTTAGGGTTGTTGTTATGAAAATAAAATAGGGGGGGGATGAACTAGAATCGCGGAGAACCAGATTCAACCCCCCCCTTCCTGACGACCTCACTTGTTTGAAGTTTTCTATCCTGTGCTGCCTCTCGCAAGACAACTCTCAATCTCCAACACTACAAGATAAGGTGATATAAATATACATTTTTTTGGCAGCAAGCAAACAGGATAAAGGCCCAGTAAAGTCCATAATCACCCACACCAGCCTAAAACGCTGTGTCTCGCTCCTTGATCCAGTTATACACATACAAGTCTAATCTATCTCATGGGTTTTTGTAAAAATAACATGGTGGAGAGGACTATTACCCTGAGCCCCTTGGCAGAAATGTCGGATAAAAATGTTAAATAGTTTCCCTTTTTCCTCTGCACGAACCCTATCACACCATAACAGCCACCGTAGCACTAAATTTCTGTAACAAGCAGCAGTTCTTCCTGCCTCACTTCTTGCTTTCCTGCCACCATCCCGGCATGTATGTCGGGGTGGAACACCACCCTCACAGTTCATCGGCAGAATTCCTCACCTTTTTAAGTTTGGTTTTGGTGGTCGACAGTTCCTGGGTATAGGCGGAGGAGACAGCTTGTTCCAAGGCTGCTTGCATGCACGGGAACATCACCTCCCCGATGAAGAAATCCTTCAGGTTGTGGAACCCCTTCGCGTAGACGGCAAAGCGCAGAGTTAGACCCTGCAGCTCCTCCAGGCTATAGTGGCCGAAATGGAACTGCTCGTGGTACTCGGGATTCAGACTCTTCTTGTGCAGGGCAGTACGCTTGGGCTCGGCGAATTTCGGAAGCAGGTAGACCTTGACGTAGGAATCCCGGCTGGCCCGGAAGCCCTTGGGCAGGTGGGAGACGCCGATCACCGTCACAATCAGCGCGGCCTCGGGCTTCGAGTAAAAAAGAGTGAAGTGGAGGTGCGGCCGCGGCTTCGGACCGGCACCAGACAGGTTCCGTGGCACAGTGTAAAACCGTGGAATGTTGGCCCCCTGGACGGGACTGGAGAGAAGGTGGCTCTCGTCCCCTAGGACACTGCTCCCGGAGATAGTGCAGCGACGTTCCAGGTTCAGTGTGGGCTTGACTGACAGGCTCAGCTTGGACGGAAAGGGGATGCTGGGTAAAGAAGCTCTGCTGTGGCGTAGGCTCCTGGGTGGGCCGTCGTAGTTGGATATCGCCGGAGATTTGGCAAGCTCGAGAGACGGGCGATCCAGAACTTCTCCTTCTATCTCCATGTACTGCTGCTGGATCACCACGGCCGTCATTTGGGAAGGCAGGGACGGCCCCAGATCCACTAGGGCCCGATGCGGCGGGCACGCTTCGCCCTTGCCTTTACGCTTCCGTCGCCAGTGCCAGCAGATCGCGCAGCCGAGGAGAAGGCAGAAGCAGAGGACGGCGAGTCCCACGCCCAGGAATACCTGCACGTTAACTAAACAGAGAAAAGAGGACTCATAAGGTCTGGAGGTTCGTGCCGAATATTTCAATTTCAAGTGACAGCAATAAAGTTGCACGACAGCCGTTTTCGCTGTAAGGACGACGAACTCTGCCCAAGCTGAACACATCAATGTCCGAACCAAACACAAAATAAGCTTTGAATCACAGGGGTGGGTGCCTGGATATTTGCTGGGGAGTTTCTGGTTCTGAGGAAGGGTATCAGTAAAGTATTAAAAGCAGCCACGGTGTAAACAAGCCCAATTTAGCGGGGTGTATATAAGAACATCGGAAGAAATGGCTATACCTTGCATTCATTCAAGGACGTCTGCATAGCGCGTAGGTTTTTGGACAAAATAATATAAGAATAGTTGAGATACATGAGGAAAAAGAACATTCAACACTTTAGGAAGAAGTAACTATTGAACACATAATTTAAAGCATCAAATATTGCCACATTTTGAATTCCGTCCCGTGCAAATCACGGCGACAAACTGTGTCTGGAACCATTACCTCGGCCTGACAGGTTTGCTCAAAGGCTAGAATAAACCGAGCCAAGCCTCAAGACAGATAAAGCCGATGGAAAAAATAGCTCCTCTTATCAGACCGGCCACTTTGCTGACGCAAAGCCCTCTCGCCGCGGCTTCCGACTCAAACACCCCTTTAGAAAGAGCGCCAGATCTTCGCTTTAATCCCCGCGTCGGTCGGCGATCCGAGCTTAGAACAGACCAGGAACTGTGGATTAACTTTCCCTTGAGATGATGTACCAGGCGGGGCTCCACATCGGCTTTACTTAAGGGTACGCGGATAGCCCGGGTGGGGCCAGTGTTCCCTCTAAGCCGAGTTAGTGTGAGCCGACTCACAGTATTTTTAGCCTCCGCCTCACACCTTTTTGTCTTCGCTCGGGAAGGAACGGCTCCAGAGCAAACTCGTTTATGCAGCAGCCAAATCGCCGGCTCACAACTTCAATGCCAGGAGCTCGCAAAGGAGAATTTATGCTCACAAGACTCCACAGCTTAGAGGGAGCATTGCCCCTGGCAGAGAACTCCCAGGGCCCCCTCCCCTCTTGGCCCCCCCAGGTTCCCACTCATGGCTTTCTTTCCTCCCACCCGCCCTCATGCTTCCTGCCCGCTTGGGTGTCCTTCCTGTACCCACTTGTGAGCTCTCCCGCTGCCCCTGCTGACTGCCACCTCTAGACCTTTCCCCAGTAGCACCAAGACAGTGTGTGTCGCTGAGGGAATGGTGGAGCGCTAAGTGTCAGAAGCCTTGTGCCCTGGACACTGGCACACCTCAGGGTACGCCGAGGCCCGCCTTGTTCATACCGCCTGATCCCTGAGCCTTTTTAACTAGACATGCCGGGTATTGAACCTGGGACCTCTGGCACTCCAAGCAGATGCTTTGCCACTGAGCTATAGCCTTGTCAGCCCTTCCGGAGCACTAATTTGCCTAAGTGAGCACCCAGTGAGCTGACCAGCTAGGCCAAATCAACCGGGAAGCTGCAAAACGTTGGATCTGGGAATTTGGCCCCTTGCTCAGCTTTGTACGAAGAGGACAGCCGACGAGAACCGTGGCCTGGATAGCCCAGGCTAGCCTGATTTTGTCAAATCTTGGAAGCTAAGCAGGGTCAGCCTTGGCTAGTATTTGGACGGGAGGCCTCCGAGGAATACCAGGGGCGTTATGCAGAGACAGGCAATGGCAAACCACCCCTGAAACGTCTTTTGCCTTAAAAAAACAAGTCTAGTTTGCCACCCAGGGGTGCATAATGCTAAAAGAGCTAGAACTTCTGGTTGCCAGACAGTCTTAGGATCTCCTGGCTATACTACACACACTGCATAATAATAATAATAATAATAATAATAATAATAATAATAATAATAATAATAATATCAACCAACAAGAAAATGAGGCAGAAGAAGAGGAGGATGAGGAGGATGATATGATTGGATTTATACTCCGCCCTTAACTACCTGAAGGAGTCTCAGAGCGGCTTACAATCTCCTTTCCCTTCCCCTCCCCACAACAGACACCCTGTGAGGTAGGTGGGGGCTGAGAGAGCTCTTTTGAGGACTGCTCCTGAGAGAACAGCTCTGAGAGAACTTGTGACTGACCCAAGGTCACACCAGCAGCTGCATGTGGAGGAATGGGGAATCAAACCCGGTTCTCCCAGATTAGAGTCCGCGCTCCGAAACCACTACGCCAAAAGAGGTGAGGATACTAACCTCCCCAATGCTCGTCTAGCAAGAACTGGACTGGCAGCCACACCAAGAGGATAGCGGCCAGTCCTCCTATCAGCCCTTTGCGGAAGGAGAAGATAACAAATTGGGAAGGGATCGGAGATGGGGAATTGTGGTCCTCGAACGCCATCCCCCAAAGGGGACGATACTCCGCCGGCCTCCACAAGCTGATCTGCAGAGCCAAATCACCCGACAGCAGCAGGTTGTCCCGTTCAGGAAATCTGGCAACTGAACCCGGATGTTGCTTCCCCAGAGACACTGTCCTCCGATCTCTGAAGCAAAGTCCCCGAGCGACAGCGAGGAATGGCCGGCGAGTCGCTGCAGCTTTGGCAACCCCACAGCTTCCGTGGCAGGGTGCACACCAACACAGCCACTTTAAATAATTCGGGTATCCGTGGGCGGACGGGAGAGCCTCCTGCTCGTTGTTAAGAGCTGGCAGGGCTTCACTTCCAGCCCGTCTGAGACAACCGAAACTGACTCCCCTCCGAAGCCCGGGTTGTCATTCCGCATCAGCGGTGCCGAGACCAGTCGTGCAGAATTCATCTGCCTCTGAGAACGTACTATTATTGGAAAGGCCGCAGCCTCCGAAAGGACAGGCACCTCCCTTACGCAAGGTGCTGGATAAATAGACCCCGGGCAGGAGGTGCTACCTGTTTTGGCAGAGCTGACATAAAGCAAGATGCGGGCGAGGAAGCGTGAAGGATGGGGCCCACGTAGAGCGCCGGGGCGGGGGTCTACACAACGCATGATCCCGTGGGTGTTTAAGGAAAGCTGTTTTGGCCAGAACCACAAAATTCCACAATGACTCCTGGTACTGAGCACTAAGTTCAGCCTCACAGGACTCTCAGCTTTCATCTTCATAAAGCGAGTTTCCAGTTTTTGTGGAAACAGGCATGTAGTAGACGGGTCAAGCTCCTACTGGCAAGCGACTGTTCTGTCGAGAACACAGATCTTCCCAGTTAGCTGGGGATACTCCCTATGCTTTGTGCCAGTCGATAGTTTTGCCACTGCAATTTGCACCAATTGTAGAGGCCAAAAATATCCCGGCTGAGCCCAGGATATCTCTAGCGGGGCCACACATACCAATTCCTGACAGCCTGTCAAAACGGGCCAGGGTGGCTCCCCGCCCCCTGCAGTCGACTTTCGCAAGAGTTCAGGAAGATCAACTGGGCATGTGTAGCTTGCTAGTTTGGGGTAGTGCTTAAGAACGGCAGACTCTAATCTGGAGAACCGGGTTTGATTCCCCATTCCTCCACATGCAGCCAGCTGGATGACCTTGGGTCAGTCACAGTTCTCTCAGAGCTCTCTTAGCGCCACGTACTTAAGAAGAAGAAGAGGAGGAGATTGGATTTATACCCCGCCCTTCACTACCCAAGGGAGTCTCAGAGCGGCTCACAATCTCCTTTCCCTTCCCCTCCCCACAACAGACACCCTGTGAGGTGGGCGGGGCTGAGAGAGCTCTTGACAGAAACTGCTCTTTTTCAAGAACAGCTCTTATCAGAGCTACGGCTGCCCAAGGTCATCCAGCCATGTGCAAGTGGAGGAGTGGGGAATCAAACCCGGTTCTCCCAGATTAGAGTCTGCGCACTTAACCACTACACCAAACCACTACTTAACAGGGTGTCTGTTGTGGGGAGGGGAAGGAAAAGGAGATTGTAAGCCACTCTGAGACTCCGAGTGAAGGGCAGGGTATAAATCCAACCTCTCCTCCTTCTTCTTTTGTTCAGTACCGAAAGATGCCTGTGGCAGTTTATTCATCTACACCCAACGGCTTCCGGCATCCTCTCCATTTTATCCTCACAATCATCCTGTGAGGTAGATTAGTCTGAAAGTGAGGGACTGGTCCACGGTCACCCAATAAGGCAGAGTGAGGATTCGAACCTGCGTCTCCCAGATCCTAAGTCTGTCGCTTTAACTCGGGGGCCGCCAACCAATGTTCCCTCTAAGCTGTGGAGTCTTGTGAGCAAAAATTCTTCTTTTTGAGCGCACTAAAGTTGTGAGCGAGCGATTTGGCTGCTGCATAAATCAGTCTGCTCTGGAGCCATCCTTCCTGAGCTAAGGCAAAAATGTGTGAGCCGGAGGCTAAAAAACTGTGAGCTAGCTCACACCAACTCAGCTTAGAGGGAACTATGCCGCCAACCTTTTTGAGGCTGTGGGCAGCTCTGGAATTCTGATAGAGGCCGGTGGGCGCGGCCGCAAAATGGCTGCCACTTGAGGTGGAGCCGGCCACAAAATGGCCGCCCTGGCTCCCCTTCAGTCACATGGTGAAGATCCTTGTGATGAGGCGGCAGCTGCCGCTGAGGCAACGCTTTTTAAAAATCTGCACAGCCAATCAAATCTCCAGTGGCCAATCGGGCAGAAGCCCCAGCTGACCCCCGCTCACTTTCTAAAAACACTTGGTGGGTGCCTGGAATGGTTCGGTGGGCACCATGTTGGGGACTCCTTTCTGCAACTGCTGCACCATGCTTGGGAGGCAACTACAAGGGCATGCAGGGTGTTGTGCTCGGACAGCCGGGGAATTCCAGCTGGCCTGCAGCTGCCCTCCCTGGCTCGCCAAGGGCAGGCAAAGCGCCCAGGACAACGGTGGAGGTGCAAAGTGTCCTTTCTGAATTAGACAGCGCCGGCGCGGCTGATAGGGACTAGGAGCGGCGGATCTATTTTTTGACTCTACCTGGAAATTCACGGTCAGGTGCAAATCCACATGCTCTGGTCCCAGCTCGTAAACAGGGACGCGTTCTGATAAAAAGGCCAGGCGGGCTGTTCTCTTTCCCGCGCTGCTTCCAAGCCAGCGTGGGGGTTTACCCCTCGGCCGAATGGGAAGCCGTTTACCTTAGATAACCTCCCGTTTTGTTTGCGAAGGGGCAGACGGGACGACGAGTGCGTCCCGTATCGGTGCCGCTTGGCGATGGGCAACAGTTTTGAGATTTCAACAGCTGCAGGGGAGCCGAGGTGTGCATTAGGTTGGGGGATGTCCTGTGATCTAATTCCCCCCCCCCCAAGTCATTTATTTCAATGGCAAAAAAGCAACTGTGTTGGAGGGGGGCATAATTTGGGATGAAGGCTGAGGAAGTGGGCCAGGGCCCTCCTGTAGTTAGGAGCGCGGACTCCAATCTGGGAGAACCAGGTTTGAGTCCCCACTCCTCCACATGCAGCTGCCGGTGTGACCTTGGGTCAGTCACAAGTTAACTCGGAGCTGTTTTCTCACGAGCAGTCCTCGAAAGAGCTCTCTCAGCCCCACCTACCTCACAGGGTGTCTTTTGTGGGGAGGGGAAGGGAAAGGAGATTGTAAGCCGCTCTGGGACTCTGGGTAGTGAAGGGCGGGGTACAAATTCGATTTCTTCTTCTTCATGATAAAAATCACTCCCCCCAAAAAGCTACCATTAAGCCAAAGAGGGAGAAAATGTTTTTCATATTATGCCAGTTATTTATTCCCCTGCTTGGGCTAAAGCCGGTGTGGAGCGGCGTTCCCTCTAAGCTGAGTTAGTGTGAGTTAGCTCACAGGTTTTTCTTAGCCTCCGGCTCTCGCATTTCTGTCTCAGCTCAGGAAGGGACGGCTCCAGAGCAAACTCATTTATGCAGTAGCCAAATTGCTCGCCCACAACATTAATGCCAATAGCTCACAAAGTAGAATTTTTGCTCACAGGTCTTCACAACTTAGAGGGAGCACTGGTGTGGAGCAATGTTCCCTCTAAGCTGTGGAGTCCTGTGAGCAAAAATTCTACTTGGTGAGCTACCGGCATTAAAGTTGTGAGCGAGTGATTTGGCTACAGCATAAATCAGTTTGCTCTGGAGCCCTCCTTCCTGAGGAAAGACAAGAATGTGTGAGCCGGAGGCTAAAAACCGGTGAGCTAGCTCACGCTAACTCAGCTTAGAGGGAACCCTGGTGTGGCGTAGTGTTTAGAGTGTCCAACTCGGATCTGGGAGACCCAGGTTCGAATGCCCACTCTTCCATGGAAGTTTGCTGGGTGACCTTGGGCCGGCCACACCCTCTCAGCCTAGCCTACCTTACAGGGTTGTTGCGGTGAGGATAAAATGGAAGAGAGGAGAATGATGTAAGCTACCATGGGTCCCCATTGGGGAGAAGGGTGGGTGTGACTGAAGGAAATAAAGTGACTTTTGCAAGCGGGTGGGATGCAATTTACTGACAAAGTGGGGAGTGGGAAGGTTTTAACTCCCATGGAGAGGCCCCAGTCTGAATTACGGATCCTCGAAGGCTGCTTGTTACCTTCACAGTAAACATTAGGGATCCAAATCCAGGGGTTGGGTCCACAGAGGCAGAAAACCAGCCTGGAAGGAGGGGATTCTTGTGGATACAAGAGAGTTCCAAATCTGCTTCCAGGACCTAAAATTTCAATGTATGTTGCTTAAAGTGCCTTTGCCCTCACTGGAAGGAATTCCAGACGGCAAGAGCTGACTCAGCTCTTAGCAAGATACAGTTCTGTGTCCTTCTTTTTCCTTGTTACCTTTGTAAGCAATATATCTTTGGGAAATGGAAACCGAAAATTTCAGGGGGGCCTGAAACCTGTTTGAGGGGGCCAAGCCCCACCCTCACCCGGCCTCCTCTGCTGCAAGTTTTCTCTGAGGCATTCGGAGCAGCATGCATGCATGATTCTCCACCTCTTCACTTACAATGTATGTGCACAGTAGAGTTACTGGCCCAAGGTCACTTTGAGTGGGGAGTCAAATCTGATTTCCCCTTGTTCAAGTCTAACACTCTAACCACTACACCATGCTGTTATCCTAGGAAATGCCTTCTCTCACATGTGAATGCCCTTCAAAGATCGGCTGACATGGCTCTGCTTGAGGAGCAACCCCCCACGAAGAACTGATATCGATCCCCATCGGGAGCAGGGCCTTTTTGGTTCTGGCCCCAGAATTCTGGAAATTCTTTGAAAAGGTTCATTGTCTGTTCCTTTTTGGTCTCTCCCCCCCCCCCACCTCTTTAGGGAAGCATACTGAAAGGTTTCTTGATTCCACCGAGCCTTAGGGAACCAACTGGAACCAACTAGAGAAATGGCTTTGGATTGTCACTCTTATTGGAATTGGGCTCATCGTCCGGAAAGCAACTGGGGAACATTTTTAAAAATACAGTATACAGCGGGGATAAATCAAGCTCTATTTGTTTTACTTCCTGCCTCTTACGCAACCGTCACAGCATTCCCCACCCCCGGGGGTGGGGTAAAGACTACTAAACTCAACCTACGCTGATTTATCTTGGCTCTGAGCCACAACAAAGTTTAGGATTACAAAACTCAATAATGCACACAAGCAAAAGGATTATACGAAGAGCTTGTAAAGAATCTAACGTGATTTCCTCCAGAATCCACAACAGAAAACGTCACTTCAGGCAGAAAGAGAAAACAGAGCATCTTGGTTAGAATGTCAGGCTGTGGGTGGAGGGGAGCCCGGGGTTCAAATCCCCTGCATGGTGAGACATTGAGACAGGCACTCTCTCCCCACCCAATCTACCTCACAGGGCTGTTGTCAGGATAAAACGGAGGAGGGAAGAACTCTATCTGCCACCCTTGAAGGATGGGTTGGGATGAAAATCTCCTAGGAGAGACGGAAATGGAACTTCAGACATCCCCGTCTGCAATCTTCTGCATGGGCAGACTGAGAGAGATTGATTAGCAGCCGGTCCAGCAGTCGCCAGTTCGAATCCTGCCTTGGCACAAACCCTTAGGCACAAACGTAAACTATGCAACCTCACCTGAATTCTGCAACGCTGGGATGATATCACTGGCCTACTCTACAGGGTGGTTGTTAGGATGACAACACAAAGAGGGCTGCCAGCTCTGAGCTGGGAAATACCTGGAGATTTTGTGGGCGGAGCTTTGGGAGGGTCAGCCTTTGAGGAGGGAAGGGGCCTCAACAGGATAGAATGCCACAGAGTCCACCCTCCAAAGCGGCCATGTTCTCCAGGGGGACTGAACTTGGCTATCAAGAGATCAGTTGTAATAGCGGGAGATCCCCAGGTGCCACCTGGAGTTTGGCAACCCTAAACACAAAGGATATGGTAAAGTACTTCCATGAATCCCAAAAGAGCCAGTTTGGTGGTGTGGTTAGGAGCACGGACTCTAATCTGGAAGAGCCGGGTTCGATTCCCCATTCATAACAACAGAAGAAGAAGAAGAAGAAGAAGAAGAAGAAGAAGAAGAAGAAGAGGAAGAAGAAGAAGAAGAAGAAGAGGAGGAGGAGGAGGAGGAGGAGGAGGAG